GTACGGGGGCGACACTGAGGGTTGCGATCCGTTGCCGGACACGGAAAAAGACAAAAAAATAAAAAAATAAAAATAAATTTTAGTTTCTATTGTTGTTACATTCTTTTGCAACACTGAAGTAAACTCAAACCTTTCTTTTTAAATCTGCATATACTGACAAATAAATAATTCCCCAAATTAATTGTTAAGTAGGAGAAAAGAGGGGGGATCCAATATCATAGGATTTCAATTGTGTATTTAAAATGTACATTTTCTTTGAGTACAATCTATATTAATTAATATAATCAATTTCAACTGTGGGATATAATGGTTCCCATCCTAGGGGATATTTGGTAACATCTGTGCTAAGGTCTGAATATTTGTGTTTCCCAATATCCTATGTTGAAGTCTTCATCTCCAGGGTGATGGGCTGTGGACCTCTGGGAGGTGATTAGCTCCTGAGGACAGAGCCCTCATGAATGGGATTAGTGCCCTAAAAAGAGAACACCCAGAGACCCCTGCCCATTGCACTATGTGAGCACACAGCCAGAAGATGACCGTCTATGAGCAAGGGCCATCTCCAGACCCCAAATCTGCAGATGGCTTGATCCTGGACTTCCCAACATCCAGAATAGCAAGAAATAAATATCTATTGTTTATAACCCACCCATTTTATGGTATTTGTTTATAGCAGCCCAAACAGATGAAGAAAATTTGAAAACATTTTTGGCTGTCCAAACTTGGAAATGGGGAGTATGAGAGGTAAATGCTACTGGCATCTAGTGGGTAGATCCCGGGGAGGCTGCTTAACATCCTACAGTGCACAGGACAGCCACCCACAGCAGAGAATCATCCAGCCCCAAATGGCAAGCTGGGGAGGGGGAGCAAACCCTGGTCTATATGTTTGTTAAGAGCCACCCCGGGTTGGGAAGTGTATACCCCAAACTAATTTGAGGAATTACATGAGATGGGGATTGGATTGGAGGAGTTCATAAAAGCCTTATTAGTCAAGGGGCTTTTTTTTTTTCTCTCTCTCTCCCTCCATGGAGGACGGGTTCATGTATCACTAGTGTCATTAAAAATTACTTTGTGGGCCGGCCTGTGGTTCACTCGGTAGAGTGCGGTGCTTATAACACCAAGGCCACGGGTTCGGATCCCATGTAGGGATGGCCGGTTTGCTCACTGGCTGAGCGTGGTGCTGAGAACACCAAGTCAAGGGTTGAGATCCCCTAACCGGTCATCTTTAAAAAACAAACTAACAAAAAAAAACTTTGAAAAAAAGACGTAAAATGGTAGCAAATGTATCCAAACAATCAAAAAAAACCTTTCTTTGACCTGACCTCTCCTTTCCTCACACTTTCTCTCCCTCTCTCCTCCCTTCACAGAGGTCTCCTGAGTTATCTGCTGACTTCTCTTCACTCTCTCACCTCCCACATAGAAACCTCACTTCCCCACTTAGCCCCCTTGGGCCAGCCCTCACTCAGGCCACCAGTGGCCTCTGCACTGTTGCTAAATCTGGGGGACCTTACTGTTTTGTTTTGTTTTGTTTATCTCACTTGTCCTTCTTTGAGACCACTAGGAAGGGGACTGTGCATCCTCCCCAGGCTTCTAGGACACTCCTCTCTCCTACTCCTCCTTCTCTTGTCCAGAGGTCCTTTCCTTCTTATCTCTCAATTGTTGCAGTTCATTTTCAGATGCTTTGTCCCAGATCTCTGCCCTTTCTGCACTCCAATCCAAAACTGACTACATAGGTTGTGGGGTCCAGTGCTGATGACAATGTGGATCCCGTTACTCAAAATGAGGAAGAATTTCAAGTCAGTGACAGCTGAGCACTAAACCAAGTGCTGGGCCCGTCTAAGCATGGTGTCCTGGGAACTGCTGGCCTCCTTCAGCCCCCACCATTCCCCTGGACCTGACCTCTGAGGGTCACCGTGGTAGGCAGAATGTCCCTCCCACCAATGATGTCCATGGACTAATGCACCAGATGTCTCTGCAAGCTGTACATATATTATATCACATGGGAAAGAAACTTTGCAGATGCAATTAACGTTACAAATCTTTCATTACAGAGATTGTCCCTGTGGGTGGTTAGTTCTTTGTGCCCACTTTGCTATCTCTAGTATCCAGTTATTCAACCAAACAACAGTCTGGGTGTTGCTGTGGAGGTATTTTTGCAGATGTGGTTAACATTTACAATCCCTTGACTTTAGATACAGATTATGCTTAATAATGTAGATGGGCCGCATCCAATACATTGATAGGCCTTAAGAGCAATACAAATGTTTCCCTGAGGAAGAGGAAATTCTGCCTCCAGGTGACAGTATCACCTCCTACCTTGTTTGCAGCCTGCCCTATGTATTTCAGGCAAGCCAGACCAACTTCCTGCAACTCAATTCCTTGAAATAAATCTCTTTGTATATAAATATTAATATGTCTTAATAATATACACGAATAATATATGTGAGTATGAAACACTGACACATGCTACAACGTGGATGAAACTTTAAAACATGTTAAGTGAAATAGGCCAGATACATCAGGCTGTACAATGTGTGGTTCCATTGATATGAAGTGTTCAGAAAAGATAAAGTCATAAAATCATATAATAGATTAATGCTTTCTATAGGCTGGAAAGAGGAAAAAATTCGGGGATTTACAGAAGCCATCTGCAATGATATGGAAAACTTCAATAGTTTCATTAAATTAGTTGGACAAATGTAACAGGGTCTCTGAAAACAGCCAGGCAGTTGTAGCTGATTCTTTGCAAGCAGCCAGGTGGCTGTAGCTGGGACTCTGGAAACAGACAGGTGAATGTACTGGGTCTCTGGAGAAAGCCAAGTGACTGTAGCTGGGTCTCTGGAAGCAGCTACAACATAGTCTCCCCAAGGAGCTTGTCAATTATGGAAGAAAACGCCTGGTTAATAAATCTCCTAGGTGTTCCAAGTTCCAGAGTTGTCTCCAAGAGAGCTGACTAGCTGGTTTCCCAAGCCAGGATGATTCCAAGGAGAAGCCCTCACATGGCTGCTTTAGGCTTTTCCTAGAGTGATTTCCTGTGTCCTCAGGTGCATGAACCAGGTGGGCCTGGGATCAGTGTTTGGCAAGAGGCCATGTAAGGCTGGACTCACGTGTGGGCTCTGTGGACCATGGGGACACAGCATGGGCTGTCCTGCATGTGAAGGCCCACTGGTCCAGTTGAGCATATGTCATCACCTGGGGTTCCCAGGCAGCAGGAATCTGAGACAGGCATTAGTTAGTGTCCAGTGGAAGGTGAGGATAGGGGGCTGTGGGGATGCAGGATGTGGTAGCCACCTCCAAGTGGCCCCCAATGATCCCTACCTCCTGAAATCACATCGTCATGTAGTTCCCTCCCACATGGCATCAAGGTTGGTCTGTGTGACCAGTAGAAAATGGCAGAGGGATGGCATGTCACTTCCAAGGTGAGGCC